CACCCAGGCCCAGCCTTTTCTCAGTGGTGTCCACGTGGGCGCAGACCAGCCGGTGACACCGAGTCCTCTCGGGACCCAAGTGAGGACACGTAGCATGCCGGGACGTGGTTTTACATTCCTACTGACCTGTGCTCTGACTTCTGAAGACTCACGTCTCCCGAGAAGTTGCTCAGTCTGGTTGATTGATCCTGGAGACTGCTTTGGATGCAGGAGCTTCAGTACCCTAACCACGAGGGCAGGGTCAATTGGGGTCCCCTGCAAGGGGCTTCATTCAGGTCTCCAAATTTAACACGCGGCCTAGTTCCACCGAGGACCCGGAAGCCTGGCCACTCACTGTTTTACGGCGAATGACCTGGAGGCCCCAAGCCCGCGAAACAGACAGCAAGGTGTTCAGGCGGTCACTTCGAAATCCCCCCACCTCTGCCATTCACTCACTCCCAAACTTCTCAGCAGTTTTTCAGCGACATTTGAGACGGCTTTTCTCCCTGAGCAGGAAATATATAGATTGGGAGGACTTCATTCACTTTGATCGCTTCTTTGGAGTAGAATCGCTGGAATCTGACTGGCACTTTTCCAAACGTATATTAACGAACACTGAGCTGTCAGAATGAAACTTTTATGACAATAACACATTGATGTACATGCTCACACAAAGAGAAGATTTAAAAGACTGCTAATACCGACAAATGGGTCTTAAAAGCTTCCTAAACCACCGCTGGTCTTTGATATTTAATTAACACGCGCAGGATCCAGTGTAAGACACGCTGTTTGGCAAATCTTAATAGTTACTAATAACATAACAATGCGTTTTTATTTCTATGTGCCATTTAAACAGAGTTAGCAATGCTTTTTCCTTCTCAGATGTGACGTGTAGTGAGACTGAGGGTCAAATCTGTTCCCCTTGTGGGCACAGGGCTGCTTCCCGCCATCACGCGCTTGGACCTGCTTTTATGAGCTGCTCGGTGAGTGGTTCTTACGACGGAGAAGGTGCCTCAGATGGTTTCAATGACGCTTCTCCGTCACGCAGCATCTCGAGTACTCACTCGAGGTGTTGTAACCCTTGTTCCCAACTTACCTTTCAGGGCTGGCAGCTGTAGCGCGTTTCCTGTTTGACCGTGTACATCCTGTGCGCGTCTGTTTAACCTTTCCCCCCATGCTCAGCGACCCTTCTCTCCCTCTGTGTCCTCCGCCCATCTTTGCTCTGCTAACGCGCTGCTGTTGCTTCTTCCACGGTTTGGCTACGCTTTTAGAAAAATGTTCATCAAGTCTTTAGAGGCTACGCTTCTGCAGTTCTTCAAAATCTCCAACCTTTGCGTAACGAAATACTCAGAAACACAAGATTTTTCTAAAAGCACTTGGCCGTAAAGAAAGTTCGAAGCAGGTGGCAAAGGTTGAACTTTACATGCTGTAGAATTTCCAAACTTAATTTCGAAATAGATTAAATAAATGGAACTTCGAAAATGTACTCGTTTCCTATAAACAGAAGGGATGTGCCTGTCACCTGTTAGTATCCATATGAGCACAAATCAACAATGGAGATTTTCAGAGCATCTAATTATATATGCATTGGTTAAGACAACTATGTAAAAACCACGCCCATGAGAAGGCTGGGAGATGTTGTTAGGCTACACGCACACGCACACGCACACGCACACACGTACCGTTTCATGGGGGACAGTTTCACTCTGAGAAGATGAAAACGTTCTGGAGACGGAGGGTGATGATGGTTACACGACATCGCGAATGCCCTTAACACCGCGGAACCGTCCACTTTAAAAATGGTGGAAATGGCACAGTTCGTGTTATGTGTATTTTACCACAGAGTTTTTCAAGTCACACTTAAAAAATAAAAAAAGGAGCACATGCTTGCAGGTTCCGCTCTGTCCAAAGCCCACCTGCCCCACAGCGAACGCGCCCGCTTCTCTCTGCCTTTCAGGTCCTTGCTGGATCCCCCACCCCAGTGAGTTCACACGCTCTGCCCCAGGTAGACCTGTCTCACCTGGCTTCCGCCGGGATCGTTGTTCTTTAAAACAGTCGACGTACTTCACAGGCAGAGAGGCTGGTTCGGGCAGAGGCACAAACACATAAGAAACACAGGATGTATTCAGGGAACGGTCGGCGAAAGCATTTGCTCAAAATCCCACGACACTCCACCATCCTCTTTCCTCTACGTGGAGTAACGGTGGCCCAGCCGCAGACGCCTTAAATCCCCAAATCGCCTTGTCCACCCCCACCCCCCAGACACCCTCGTGCACCTCACACTGTCAGTTCTATCAGCCTGAACCGTATGAATTTGCAGCAATTGTGGGTCAGAATGGTTCGATATCAGCAATTTCACGTATCGACCTCATAGAATTTCTTCGAGGCCCTTACAACTCTCTCCGCTTTATGCTCATCATCCCGAATGCTCTTCTAGCCCAAGTCTCGCCATCTGCCCCCCGGATCCTGGCCGTGGCTCCTCACCAGCCTGTCTCGGCACGTTGCCAGCCCATCTGGCCTGCGGTTACCCCAGAACAATATGAAAATTGTCCCCTGATGCCAGCAAGACACATCCCGAAACTCTCAATGGAGCCTTCTAGGCTCTCTACAGTCCACACGTGGCCCGCTTGGGCAAACTTATCTTCTGCCCTTCCCCGGAAGGGGTCTTAGAGCTTGCCCAGTGGTTCCCAAACCTGGCTTCACATTGGAAATCCCCTTGTTCTTACTTTATCAATCACTCACTCACTCACTCACTCAATCTAGCCTTACATTCATTCACATATAGGTCTCCTATGCCCAGCACTTAAAATCTGTTTTTAATTAACAGACTTTATTTTGGGGTGCACTTTTAGGTTCACGCTAAAGGGGATCAGAAACTACAGGAGAAGTCACACAGACGCACTCCCCTCCCCCACGTATACACAGCTCCCCACCATCAACGGCCCACATCAGTGCGGAATGTCTGTGATGATGCCCCAGCGGACGCGTCACGATCGACTACAGAAGAATGTTTTGGAGTGGGTAATATATACATCGTTTGAAAAGATCCGAGCACTATAGAAGCGTACTCAGCAAAAATAAGTCTGTCTCTCGTGCCTGACCCCCGACTCACCGCCTCCCTCCACAGAGGTAGATTCTAGGGTATAAAATCGGCTCTGTAGGCACGTCTCCGTACACAACGTCAGCACAAGTACAGCAGGCTGTATACACTACACAAAACTTAAGTATTTCCTCTTGAGAACACATACTGAAGACCGCTCAGCGGCCACACAAATTAAGCTGCTTTACTCTTTCTAACCACGTTCCGCAGAGTTGTCAACGGTGTGTATTTGTATCTTTACCTAACCGTGCCCTATGGAGATGGGGCGTTTTTTAAACTGCAGATTTCCGAGCCTCTTCCCAAATGCATTGGATAAGATTTTCCAGGGGCGGCCTCAGGAATGTCTCTTTTATACACTTTTTCCAAGTTACTCTCATATAAGCCTCTCAAGGTACTCATTTACAAAGCAGTAAACGAGTCCATCCTTCTAATATTCCAACTGAGAACACGGCGGGGGGAAAGATATAAAGTGATTTTCCCAAAGACTCACGGCAAAGAAGTGAGAGGCAGAGTTAACAGAACGGCAGGGCTCCCTGAACAAGCCGTGGGTGTGAGTGACCCATCCGCGATGCGCACCGTAAAGGCGTGGCCGTGATGAGTAACCCCAGATGCCGCAGTCCTGTTTATCAGGGGATTTTTAAGTGATCATTTCCTTGCAGTGCTGATGCTGACCTGCCTTCTGAGGCGTCGAAGGAATCTTAAGGCAAACACCATCATGATAACCTCTGAAACTCTGCTTTGCGTATAAAACTTTTCTCTTACGAAAAGCAGGTCCTTTGCATTTTGCCTTTTCGGACAATGAGGTGATGACCCTGTTTATTGTAACATCTAGAATTCCACTATGCAGAAGTTACTTAACTTAATAAACAAGCCCCCTATCAAAGGCCATGTAGGTTATTTCGAGGAACACAGCCTTTGTTCACTGATTTTCCAACTGCGTGTCACGAACCCCCGTGGGTTTTCCTAGGGGCACGGGGATGGATGGATGAGACCTCTGCCCTCGAGGCCTGGCCTCCCCCACGACACTCCCGATATCTCCAGAACGCCCCTGGGTGGCGGGGAACCCCAGACCGGAGTCGGCCTTCAGCACAACGTCGCCGACCCCCAGCTGTGAGTAAGCCGCAGGGAAGACCCTCTGCTTGCTCTCCATCCTGGTCTCCAGCCCCGGCCTGGATAATTCCTCCTGGTGCCTTGGAGGAGGTTGAGCAGCACCCCTGGCCACCACCCAGGACCGCAAAGCTGTCACGCCCCCAAACTGTCTCCAGAGATTGCCTAGCGAGGGGGAGGGACTTTCCAAAGTCACCCCCAGCTGTGAGGCGCTAGTGTGCGTGAGAGAAAGCGGCAGGTAGAGGGACAGACGTCTGTCAGCTGCTAGTTTGCAGCTGCGGAAAGACTTCAGAGGGCCCCCCGAAGTAGCATGCGGCCCACGAAAAATCTTCACACGCGTAAGAGCCCACGAGAAACGCAAGCAAACAAGGGCTTTTGAAGTTTCCCCGCCTTCTCTGCAGTCATTCTGCTAACGCAGAAAAGCGAGGTTACGTTCGTTACCAAGGACGTGTAAACACAATCTGGGTTCTGTTCTAGGCATTTCCGAACGTCTAAAGGGAAAGGGGGAAAGTGGACTGGGATATTGCTCCTTGCCAGGCCTCAGCTAACCTCCAGGCCTTGAGGGAGAAGAAAAGGGGGAAAACACTGTCTGGGAACTTTCCAGAGTTGAAGACGATGCCAGGACTTTCCCAAGCAGAGCCGTTCCATTTCTTCCTCCCACCCCTAACGCCTGCCTCCCCTTTCCACAGCATCACGTAAACCAAACAAACCAGGAGCTGCAATATAGGCAAAGACTAAATCTCTAGACAAAAATACAAATAGAGAAAGAGGAACCACCTATGTATATATATCACAGTCTACCCTGTGGACTCACCTGCTAAATGTCACCCATCATCACATTAAAATGAAAGCCTGCCATATCCTGGGCAGACACTGTTCTCCAGGGTCAGCTCGGCCAGGAAGTGTGCTGGAAATTCATGGTCTGGTCATTCCTAAGTACTCTCCAGAGGGCAGAGTTCAGGTCGAGTGAAAGCTTGTGGCTCCACCCCTTGACAAAGCCCCACAGCCAGGGAGCAGGTGTAGCCTGCCAAAAGCAAACAAAAACTTCTCTCAAACAACAATAAAGTTAACACCAGCAGCCTGTCAACACCAATTAGCAAGCCCTGCAGCAGAAGCCTGTTAGAATCAGTGCTCAAATCCAGCTCCATCCTCGGGAAGCAGAAACTGCCTTCCTCCCAAGACACAGCCCTTAGGCCTGCTATACTTAGGGGCCCAGCTGGGCAGAATTATGACTCTCCCAGGCCCTAGGCCCTTTTGATTTCCTGGGCTGCTTCCTCCATAATATTAACATCAAAGTTTATTTTTGATATATAACTTTAAATAGTTTAATGTTTTTTCTTCGTGTTTTAGGCGCATTCGAATAGGTTTGTGTGGGCCTGAAAACTAAAACGTTTCCTTGTTGAACGTTTTAATTTCCTTTGGGGTTTTTTAATTTTAAAACATTTTTCTGGGCCCCTAGGCACTGCGCCCACTATGTCTCATGGAGAAGTAAGCCTCAATTCAAATTTAAACTTTTCTGTCCAAGGCCTGCTGCAATGCTCAGTTCAAACGTGTAAATATAAAATTGTCTTCACACTGCTCAGTGAAGACACTTCTGCCATAAAGGAGCAAGGACTTCTCCTAACACCTAGAGAGAGAATAAAAAATAAATAAATAAAAATAAAAAATAAAAAAAAATACTGTCATCCATGGCCTATACATCCAACCAAACACAACTCTGGCCGCTTTTAAAAGTCCATTCCGTTGATGAAATGGCCGACATAATAGACCTGGATGTTAAATACTTCAACTCGTAACTTAAGAGTGATCTCTTACTCAAGTACACCAAGAGGTTTAAAAAGAAAAAAAATCAAGGCACCACACAAGATAGATTTTTCTCCAATATTTTATTTATATAGAAATACTTAAAAAATGAAGTAGCACCATTACTTAAGTTTTACCTTTATTATGTAGAACTTTAAATGTCAGAAAAATAAAACTCTTGATACAATTTCAAATCTTGTCTCAGCAAATATAATATTAGTATTTGACCATGAGGTTAAAGGCCCTTTATCATAAAATAAAATATATTTTCTTAAACTTTGCTCAGTAAAGTACATTTAAGCTCAAGTAACGTCACCTACATATACATAAACAAGTGGTAAACAAATGTATTAAAATAGAAATACTAAAACTATAGTGGTGCAACAGAATTTTTGTAACTTGCACTGAATTCTATTTATACAAATGTTAGAAAGCATCGACAGTTCCTTTTGACATGTTTATACATTTCCGTTTTTTTTTTTGTAATAATATAGAATAAAATATGCTTTATATCACTGAATAGAAAATATGCTGGGTGAAGCAGATCTAGAAGATTTGTCTGAACCTATAAAAATCTCCATCCCAACAGAATACTGTTCAAAACATTACACATTTTATGGTTTGTAATTCCGTCACAATTGTGATTATTAAAATAATACAGTGTTCTTTGCCATAAGGCCATACTAAAATAAAAAGATTTAACCCAGCTACAAAAAAGTTCACTGAACTTAAATTAAAATACTTGTAAACATCTTTGCAATATGAAATATAATTTTTCAAGTCAAAAAAGAATAAAATACTTCAATCTGTATTAATGCAATTTCTCTTTAAAACTTTTAAACGTTTTTAATATATAAGAGATATGTTACAGTTTCTTTAACTTTAATAAAGCTGCAGTGTCCTGGTTTCACAGGAACTCCTGGCCCTTCCGCGAGCATTCCGAAAGGATCCACTGTGTTCTAGAACAAGCGTCGTAGGAATCCAGCCACAAAGGGGGACACACCAAAACAGTCCACACATCCCATAGCACTATTATTGTCGTCTTCATAATAATTACTTGTTCATTTTTTCCTACTTTACGAAAATGGAAAACTTGTGGGGTTTTCTTCTTTTGGAAGCTTCCTATTAAGTACAGTGTAAAAACTATCATTACTAGAAGGTCGCCGTTCCTATTATTTATAGAGCATGCATTTCAGGTGGTTTCCCAGGCTACAGTACTCTTGATGCAGATATCCTGGCAAGTTCCCTTGTTTAAAAATCAAATTTTAAAAACGAGCGGATACTACAGCTTTCCAAGCCCCTCTTGGATCTCGGAGTGTGAGCAGGGCGGAGAGGAGAGGAGGCGGCCGCGGGAGCTGGGGCCTGAGGATGGAGGGGAGGGTCCCCCTTCCCCCGCGCAGGCGCGCTGCCCTCAGGAAAAGATGCGGATGGCCTGAGTGACCGCCGTGTGGCAGACGGGGCACTCGGGCTCGCTCTTCTCGCAGATGCGGTTGGCGCACTCCATGCAGAACAGGTTGTGACCGCAGGGCACCAGCGCGGCGATCACTTCGCTCTCGAAGCACACGGAGCAGTCGCGGCTGCCCTTCCTGCGCAAGCCGGACGACGACGACGAGGAGCTGGAGGAAGAGCTGGACGACGACGAGGAGCCGGACGTGTCGGACGGCTGCAGGCCGGGCAGCTGCGCCCCCAGCCCGTTGGCATAGGCCGCGTAGGCCAGGCCCCCTCCGCCGGGGTCGCTGCGCACCCGGCGGGCCAGGTGGTGCTCACCCGTCCCCGGGGCCATGTGCAGGGGCGGGGACAAGCGCGGGCAGCTGGCGCCCGGGTGCAGCCGGCGGTGCACCAGCAGCCCCAGGTTGGCGTTGGAGGGCGCGCTG